GGTTGACACCTACTTAACTATAATTCAGTTGTTTAAATTATTCTATGTTTGTCAATTTTCTACAACTTCTTTTGCAAGGTTTTTGAAGTCTTAAGCCCCCGTTTGATGCACATTTTAAAGGTAAGAATTCATTTTTACTATTGATGTGATGGAGAATATATTGTTGAAAAAGAAGTAAAAGTTATTGATGTGATGAAAAATATTATTTTATTGAAGAATGTGTGGTTGAAAATGAATAGAAGAATGAGAATGAAAAAAATAATGTGGACCAAACATGATGATGTCAATAATTTATTTTTTATTCTCCTAGTGGCGAATATCTAATCTTTAACATATATAAGAGCTTTCAAAGTGTCTTCTTTGAGTATTGACCTTATTTCATTAATATCTTATCACTAAAAGCAAACTCGGATGCTACTATTAATACCAGAACTATTAGTAGATCTCGTGCCATTTTTAATATTATTGGATACGATCTTTTATTTGTTTTCCACCAATTTAAAATTTCTAAATTTTATACCAATTGAAATAAAATTATGAAAGCCTTAGGAATCTGACAACCTAGACTATCACGGGCCCTTACAGCTGTCACACCTAAGGTCGTGACAGAGTTATAAAGAGAGAAATGTTATATCTACAGTATTTTTACACATACATTTTGACAGCCTTCTCACATGGGGGGTGGTGCCCACAATCGCGGGCCCCACACCTATGTGAGAAGACTATCAAACTTATTGTGTAAAAACACTGTACATTCAGCATTTTTCTTATAAAGAAGGCATATTTCCTTCTTTTAAATTTATTTTTCTTTAATTTTAGTGGGCTTGATGGTTGATCGTCGGCCCAATCAATTTAGTTGGCCGAATAGTATTTTGTATTTAGTGGTAATTACATAAAACCAGGCATTAAGTTTTACATTTTAAAAATTCAGGTTTTGACTTTATTTAATAAAAAATCAGGTTTTAATTTCACAATTAATATTAACAATAATATTTTAAATTAATTTATATACCCACCCTACTTCTTACCCCCCCAAACCCTAAATCAACTCTCACAATTTCTCTCACCTCTTTCTCCATTCTCTCCACCGCCACCGCCACTGCCCCCGCCTCCCTATCCCTCTCCCTCGTACGTCTCTCCCCTTCCCCCTCCCGCAGCAGCGTCACAGTGACGCTGCTGCCGTTCAACAGCGTCACGCGCTGCACAACAAAGTCAATTGAAAAAATGGGTTGCTCGGCGTCGCGGGCGATTTGTGGTGTTTTGGGTTTTTAAGTAAGCCATGTGGGGAAATGTGTTCCCACTTTGCAACCCCCCAACCATAGAAAAGTCAACTGAAAATGAGGAATCCATCCAGAACTGAAATTGAAAGAGATGCACTGGTTGTAATTCAAGTCAACGATCGTAACTGGGAGAGATTTGGAAAAATGGACTTCAGTGATTATAGCTTCAAGTTGGTTTGCTTCAAGTTCCAAATACTGGAGTTTGGTAAGGAGTTTGGAGGTGCTTTCAGCCCGGTTCCGGTGGCTGCCGGTAGAAATAATGTACTGCTATTGTATGGAGTGTTCGGCGTAACAATAAGCGTATGTGGTTTTGGAGTTTTTGTTGGGTGGTGGTTGAGGTGTGGCGTGGTTAGCGGTGGCAAAAAAGCTTGGAGGTTTGGACGGCTCAGGCTCAGGCCGGGCACCACTTCGGGGAGTCGGCTCGAGCTCGGCCCGGCCCGTGGCCCGGGCGATCCTACTATTTAAAAAGAATAAAATTTGAAGGCAGGAAGCTTGCACAGCAGCGGCAAGCTGCCTGCACATCTTGTTGCTTCAAGCGGCTTGCTTGCAACCTGCCTGTTGCAGGAAGGTTGCAAGCTGCCTGCAACAGGCAGGCAGCAGCTCAAAAAAAAAAAA